GCCACCATTTCATTAACTTCCTAGTGATTGGAGATACTGAAGTCTCGCTATCCTATTGTCCTTTGATTCTAACAGCCACTACCGCTACTTCAGAGAAGTCTTCTAACAACGCGTCCTTAACAAGGTGAAAGCCCCTGCCCCAACACGAGTATCTAAATTGGGGGGGGGGGAATCTTGGAGTAATAGTATGAATTATACCATTTCAAACACGATACCCTAGTTTTGAGAATTCCCACAGGAGAAAGGACATAAAAAGAATATGAACGAAAACAAAAAAGCAGCAAAGTGGTTTTACTGCTGTGACGGCAATTACCAATTTTTCTTACCGTTGTTTTTTATGATGGTTTTATGATGGTTATTTTGATTCCATTTCAACTTGCTTCAAAGGCTGCATTTCTTGAAAGATGGCACATTTCTTTAAAACGTGCAGCCTCTTTATCTTTTTGTAGGGTTTAGGAAAAACAGTGAGCAAGTATTCAAAAATGCTATTTTAGTCTGTAGGATGAATTGGTATGGTTCCACCAAAAGGATGGGTTTCCCAAGTTTATGATTTCTGGATATGTTAGACTACAGTTCCCAAACTTCTCAGCCATGCTGGAGACGACTGGATTGGTTGAGATTTGTATAGCAATGACCGTGGAGGGCACCAGGTAGAAGGTCTTGTTTCTGCACGTAACAAAGACCAAGCCACAACTGTTCCTTCCAGTTCCATACAAGAACAGTCATGATGAGAGAGAACATCCAGAACATTTCCTTTTAGGACTAATGGATGAACAGTTAGAAAAAAGCCATGGAAGATTATTTCAATATATGATACTGCAGCGAGATGATTATATGCACAGAGATGGAAAGATTTGACTCTACCCACTATGGAGGAATGGTTGGTGAACTTGACAGATCTTGCTGAATTGGATAAACTAACTTCTTTGATTAGAGAAGAAGACACTACAGTGGAACCTCGGTTTACGAACTTAATTCGTTCCGTGACACTGGTCGCACCCCGAATTGGTCGCACCCCGAAGCAAATTTCCCCATAAGGTTCAATGTAAT